CAGTTAGTCTCTACTAATGCCTTCTGAGAACAGCAGCAGAAAACAAAGCACTAATTAACTGCTTTAATTAAGTAAAAATTTTAACTTGGAAAAAAAGAACTAGTTGATGGACTGAGCCAGGCTGAGGTGTACCAAGTACTTCCCAATCAACCAATTAAAAGCCTAATACCCCAGAGAGTCTAATGCTCTAAATGAGTCCCTGCACTGAAAATAAGGCTGTTACTAGCTTAGTCTTACTCTAGGGGCTTTGACTGCTGCTCTGTAGCTCTCGGTTTGCACTGGGCCCTGATGCATTAATCGAATATAATTAGAGGTTAGGGGGGGGGCAAACAGTCAAATTGACAACATAGGGTAATTCAGGATGACCATTTCAGGTACTTCACTGTGCTGGCACAGAGCATAAAAAAAAAAAATGGATTTGCACATAACACACTGTACTGACTTTAACAGGTACCATCTCTGTGTCAGAGAGTGCGAGTGCACATTGTTGCTTATGTGTGGTGGGGACTCACTCTTTCATTGCGGTCGGCACAGAAGAGGCGTGTGTGGTGGCGTTTTTGCACAACAATGTAGGTGATGCCTGGCTGGTACTCCTTCTCCAGGCTGATACAGGCCTCACGGATGGCCAGCAGCTCATAATACAGCACCTGAGGAACAAATAAAAATAAAAAAAAAAGCTCTAGATGGTTGTTAAAAACTAGCCTGTCATCTATATTCTTTCACACCTTACAGAATATATTGTCCTTACTCCTGTCTCATTTTAGTTCATGTTGTCTTATGGATGACATCAATCTTTATCTGGCCTGCTGTGCAACCTATCATAATATTAATTTCATAGTTCAAATACCAGAACCTTGGGAATGTTCTCCTCCATTGTGTTAAAAAAAAAACTCATTAAATATTTAAAAAAAATTTAAATATGCTTGCACATTTAGATTTGAAGTGAACTACCAGTCTGAGCAAAAACATGCTGCATCAGTATCCATCATCATACAGAGCCAAAAACTACCCAAATGTACTGCCTCCATCTATCATCCCAGCATCATATGAAATTCAGCACACCAAACTCAAGTGCATTTTGGCTGGTGTCTGGTATTCAATCCACACCCTGGCTGCAACCAACTGCTCTGTGAAAGACATAAGAATAAATAAGGGGCTAACCTGTCTGAACTGGCCTTCTGAAACTCCATCCCTGTAGAAAATGATCCTGGTGGGCTTGTAGCGGGTAGACTTGTAGAACTGGATGAGCAATTCCCTCACCATGGAGGCCAGGTCTTGGATTACCTCCTGTCTGGGCCTCTGGACCCGCACAGTGGCACAGTACCTGCTGGGATGGGCATCCATACTGCCTACCACCTGGAAGAGAGAAAGAGGAGGGACAGCAGTAGCATGAGTGGGGGAAGAATGATAACAGATTGGAGGGTGGGGACAGATGAGATGAAAAATGAAATCAGATGCTAAGTGCCAAGCAAGAAAAAGTGTTACTTACTGCTGCAATTGAAGGCTTCTTCCCATCTCCAGCAGGTGGATGTGTAACATCTGCTCCCAAGAAGATAACTGGCTGCTGAAACACTGATGGCCTATTGATTCAGAGACATAGTAAAGACATGAATCATCTCCTTGTATTGTAGCATGTTTTACTAAAGCATCTGTGCAAATATCAATAGAAACTGACAGATATATTCTTTTAATCGAGCATTACTAGCAAACTGCCAGCTGCAAGGAGAGGAGAGCATGACTGACCGTTGGTGAGGCACCAGGATATTGTTGATGCCTCCCAGCTTCACATTGATCTTGAGGCAGAGGTTGGAGAGGGTCTGAGGTGACGTCTTCACCACGTTCTTCACCTGAACACACTGGGTGGCCATGCCCAAGAGGGTGTCTCCCACACGCTTCACCTCCGCTGTAGAGGTTGGAAAAAGTAAACGGTTATGCAACCTTAATAATGTTAAAAAAAAATGTATTAAAGAAATTTGAGTAGTTAAATGTCAAAGATACCAGAGAGTGAGATACTCTCTGCTCAGTATGACGCTTTCATTCACACACATTTTGGAAGAAGAGGATACGAGCGCCGCCATTCATGATTCCATACATTCTGCACCACACACATATTCACTAGCAGTTTTCTGACCATAGACGGGGGTTTTTCCCGGCAGGATGACGATGATAAGCTGTAATCCGGCATAGGTGTTCTTCAGGTGCCTGAACATGGGCTCCACACTGTCTGCTCCCTGTGCGTATTTACAAAAACATGGCTGGCCCTGAATTGGCATCCCAGCATCCTTAGAGATTTTACGTAGCTGGTCTGTGAAACCCCTACATGGGGAAGAAGCAGGAAGGAATTATATTCATGTTTACACTAATGTTGTGTAGTGTTTACTATATCCACACTGACATTGTCATAAAACAGCATTTTGAAAACCTTGGGAGTTAGGAAATCCTGCTGCTTTATTACTTTTGAACGTTTATACATTGCATCCATGTATCAGTGCATTTGTCATGTGACAGCACTGTACTGCTGACATTAACTGACAAAAATGCAGAGTAAAATAATTTTGCCAGGCTGGATGCCATTAACTCGAGCCAGTTTATCATTTCAAAGGAAAAAAAATATACAAAGTCATCTATAAAATCATTAAACATTTATATGAAAGGCAAAATAAATGTTTGAATAATAATTTAAAACCATTTTGTTTTTTTTTTAAATGCTATCATTAACATACTGTAGTGCGTACGGTGACGACTGTCAGAGCTAAAGTGATCATACTTGAGGATTTCTTCCCGACACTGCCTCTGTGTGGCAAAGCAAGCGATGGCCCACATCTTGATCTCCACCCCGGTGTGGAACTGCTTCCCCCTCATGTCCCACACCCCGTGGCTGGGTGTGGCTACAGTGCGGTTCTGAAACAACATTGCAGTCTCACCACATGTACTCACAATTATGTAGGTCAACACTCCCATTCATACAGTTTATACAAACTCACACAAGCAGAAACAGAAGTGTTCACGCAGTCACAACACACACACACACTCTTACTTTCTGATCACCCACAAGTACCCCATACACTCTTCATTCATACCAAAATTTATTTACACTCATTTTTGCACACAAATTCACACTTGGAAAAAAAGATAATTCAAAGAAACATGCATTCTCAAAGCCTAAGCTCTAACCACAGAAACATATCAAGTATGATTATGTGATTTTTATGTGATGCTATTGCAAAGCTAGTATGATGCACTGTGTGATGGAATTTACAGTATGTAGTGCTGGTGTGTGTATCATGCTCAGCACTGTGTATATGTATGTATATAACGGTGTCATAGTTTTCAGTAGTACACACACCCCAATGTACAATAATCCAAGGTGTGTTTCTTCAGAGAAGACAGACAGATGTTAATCAACACTGTGGTTCAGTCTCCAATGACCTCTTCAACTTCCTCATAAGGTCAGTAAGGAAGGTTAACATTGAGAAATGCTGGCAGCTTTTTGTCAACTCTGCCATAATGATCAGGAACTCAGAAGTCATCCAATCATAATTTGGGATTTTTCTATTCAACATAACCCTTATGGCAGATGAAAATATTTCCTCTCCGGACTGCCTCATTGAAGAATGCATTAAATTTGATAAAGGAACTGCCTTTATTTTTAAGGTACAATCAAAGTTGGCATTATCAAGACTCAACCACAACAAATAAAGCTAAAAAGACTAACACCAAGTTCAAACAGAAGCAAGTGAGTTAGTTCCCCTTAGAGACGGTGGAATAAAGGCTGAGGAAGGGGAGAGCGTGGCAGACAAACAGAGAGAATGGGCATGATTTAAAGGAAGGGTACCATAAAGTGCTCTGTGCTCACCCTGCCGCCGTACTGCAGCATGGGGGCGGGTAGCACTCGCCCCGTCACGTGGGCCATCTCGTCGCGCACCTTGAACTGGAATTCTTGCACAAAAGGATCTGCCTCATAGTTGGCACTGCGCACCTGCAAAGAAAAAGAACGGGAAATTTACACAGGGTCAGGCTAAGGTAGTTCATGCACTGAAAGTTTACATTATACTGCTGTGTGTTAGGTTCACTGACTGTAAAAATGATGGACAGGCTAAGAGCTCAGAGTAGTGAAGCCCCCTGGTGGCTGGTTGCAGTATAGATTATAAATCACACCTCCTCCATGTTAGTGGATGGAACATAGGCCACACTAAAAACTCTTAAGTACAAACCAAATAAAGTTGTCCCAGAGGTCACGTCTGTGGTTTTTGGTAGATATTATCATGGTAATGTGTGTACAAGTGGTCAGTTTACTGGTAAATATTTTGGTTGATTCGACAGCTTTGATTGGTGGTCTGATGCCGTCACTCCACTTCTGGTCACTACTGCACAGATTTGTTTAAAAAAAAAGCAAGATGACAGCCACCATAGTCATGATATTTTGGCTTCATTTTTGCATAATGAAGGGAAGTGGTGATGCCATGTCCAACGTATATACATGTCAATGGTCTGTTTAAATGCTCATTCATTGTGGCTTGCCTTGGTTAAAGGGATAGTCTGACATTTTGTGAAATATGCTTGTTTACTGGGTGAGGTGATTACAAAACAAGCAATTTAATATAAAGATGAGCAGCACGGCAGCCAGCTGTTGACAAGCCCAGCAACACAAGCATTTTATTAAACTGCTGTTGGGTTGTCCAAATGCAACCTGCTGAAACAAACATTAAATGACTACACATTAAAAAAAGGTTGTGCAGCTGCTCTATGCTTTTATTATATTAAAGAGTTTCAGCATACAGGGATTTTCAATACCTTAAATGTATAGTCTGCCAGCAGAAATATTTTTTACAACTTCAGTAGTCAAATACAACCTATTAATGAGCAAATTCTAAAGGATTTGGATAAAAAAAAATTATTTATTTTATTATTATTTATTTTCAAATAATCTCCAATACGTTTGATGAAAAGAACCATATAATCTGCTACTAATTACAGGAAAAATAGAGTAATTAGCTGATACGCTAGACATTTCTAATATACTAGCACAGCCTTGATATTTTTATTCAGAGGACAGCAGGTGAGCTATGGGGAATACATCTACAAACATTCCACCTAAACGAAGAATAGCGTTCCCAATAATAAATGGAAAAATGTATTCACAGGGGTTCAAATGGAGAAACTGAGTTATTAAAGCATGACCAGCGTAATTTCAGTGTTTAAACAAGGTGTCATTTTGCCAGTAACAGAAGAGCCCTTGAGTCAGTCGGTGTCTCCACAACTCACCAGCCTGCTGATCTCCTCCTGTCTGTCGGGTGCAGATCGAGCTGTGGCTTTGATCATAGTGGAGGTCTGATTATCCGTCAGCTTCTTGATGCACCGTTGACCAGCTACAATATTACACACCTACCAAGAAACAATGGTTGGAACATGCATTTTTAATCAGTTTTGTTCTGTAGCCAGCAGAAGATTTCCTTAGAATTCTGTTCTGCAGCTGCCCTGTTTCATATTTACAAAGTTGATAGACACACAGCAGATGATACACTGCAGATTTCATCATACTTGAAGCTATGTTTAATGGAGTAGCAGCTTGTGTTCTCTCACCTCCAGGGGAAGGTAGGTGTGCTTTTGCTCCTGGCCCACCTGTAAACAGGGCAAATGTGGGTACTTAAGCTGCAGGTTGTACTTCTCCCTGAAGTACTGGGCTACAGTACGCTCTACAGTCTGACCGTTTTCCAATTGTAGAGGGAACCTGCAGAGAAAAACACCATATCAACACCTAGGCCTCATAGTCTTCATAGCTCAAAATCATTTTAAAATATCTTTACTCATAGCATTCTACAAGCATACTGGCCATATGGTGATGTATAAGTCATTAAAAATGTAACACGGTGTGATATTCTACTGTGAATGGTAAACTCTGACCAGCAGCAGTCACTTGGCTACTTCATTAATGGATGACTCATGTTAACCAGATGCTTGTCAGATGAGTCAGCTATTATCTGGTTCATTTGATGGTGAACTTGTGATTGCTTGCTCTGCGGCCAGCGCTTCCCCCGCCCCCAACCCATCCACATGGAGTTTCCTGTTCCCTTGCCTGCTCACAGGCTGACTCACGTTTGATGGCTGGCAGGCCGACGGGTCACATTGCAGACACGGTACTTCCTCCGCATGGTTCCACAGTGCGTCACCTCCACCTTCAAGCCTGATGAATAATATCAAGTATTATAGTAGCATTAAGAACGCGCCTGCATGTGAATAGCCGTGACATGCCGGTACACATTACACCCTGACTTCACCTTTGATTTCTTTGGTGAATTTGACCCGGTGCGAGTCGGTAAGAGCGCGGGGCTGCTCATCTATGTTGTGGATGTCCAGCACTTCACACATGAACTGGATGACTGGCTGGGCCTTGTAGAAGGCGGTGGCAGACACTGCATGGGGAAAACAAGGACAAGAGTATTTTAAGACCCCCCCCAAAAAAATGCTATGCTTTTGCATTACACTGAATGACAACAACTACATGATTCTTTAAATTAATAGTGTTATACCACTGGCTGAAGTTACGTCACAGGTAAACATTTGAATTTCATGGTATAAATGTTGAATGTGCGCCTGAAAAAAGAAAATTTAACATGTATGTAGTAAAAAAATATGGCATTCTAGGTTACTGAGCACTTCAACATTATGCGAGACTCAGACTGAAGGAAAACTAAATACTGTCCTTATTATTTCAAAGCATTTTCATTTTTCTAACTCCTTCATGAGACCATATGTTCAAAATGGCAGCTACTCTGAAGTGTTCACAGAACAAACTGATGCCCAGCTTCAAGTAACAAAAACAATGCATGAATACCAGATGAATGGTGAAATAGGGAGAGAATGCAATATAGCCATTATAAAGCTTTTACTGAGGCTTATCACATAACGTCTGTGCTGTCAGCCCGTCATGCAAAATAAAAGTAGCAGAAATACTGACTGAAGACAGGAAATGCAATTCATGCAGTGTATAATCTGTGGTCTGTCGAGAGTCTCCGATTGTCACACACAGACAGGTTCCCTTTGTTCAGATACAATAAATAAAAAGACTGAAGCAGAGACATTAAAATGTGATGGGTGAGACTGCAGAGCAATATTAGGGAGGCATTAAAATTAAGGAAAAAGGAACATGTATGACAAAACATAAAACAAGATCAAAAGAAATCCAAAAATGGGCATTCACAGATGAGAGTGGTATTGACAAAGTTACTGACAAATAAAAAAGCTTAGCTGCTGTGATGTAAGAAGCTCCTCTCTGATGTGGTGTCTGACACACTCCTACACCTCTGGTTTGCCCCATGTAACATCTGAAAGTGACATCACTCCTAATCGTCCTCCCTACGCATTGTGTGTGTGGAAGTGTCAGTGAGTCAGTCCTGTTAATGTAGAAATGAAAAAAGGTCCCATTTCTCTGCAATTACAACAATTTGGTATATGCACTTTTGATCATCCATTTTACTGAGCGTGGGAGGCAACATTTGCTTCCTTCATGCACAAATATTTAAATAGGCTTAACAGTTTGCTTTGCCAATACATGATGCCATGCTGATGAGTTAGAAAACAAATGCTTCACAAACAGTTGGAGGTCTAGTTTGTTGTTGGAAAGGAGACAAGGTTTGTGGCGACCAACTGATTTTCAAGGACTGCAGGGCGGGAAAATGAGACAAAGAGACAATCGGAGAGGAGAGAGGGAAAGATTAAATAGAGAGGCTTCAAGCACTCATAGAAAAACAATAGGTGTCTCAAGGAAATGCTCCACACAGCTACCCTCTGACCCCAGCAACTCCCACAAGTCTCAATAATGCAGGCACAACCACAACCACCCCCCCACACACACAAACAAGCTGCCTTCTGTCTCCACAGCAACAGACTAGACAGTTCCCATCCAGCCAAAAACCCACCAACCTCCAAGTTACTCTAACACTCTCTCACACACACTCTCTTGTCAGCAGCAGAGCCTTGGTCTCCAACAACCTCCTCTAGTGTGCGTATGGTTAAAAACACACTCTGACCTTTCTGTCACTTCTTTTCAACAAATAATAACAAAATAAAGTGTAGCTCAGTATTCTATGTCACCAAAAAGATTTTTTTTTTTTTTTTTTTTAACCGACATGAGGTCCAAGCTAAAGCCAATTATCAAATTAGTTCTTGACGTAGTGGTTCACAGCCAGAAGAACTGGCTCCATTCTGACTAATTAAATCTGCTGGTCTACAAAAATAAATAAAATAAAAAAATTGTGATGGCACAAGAGGATTAATGCCATCACCAAGTAAAACTAAACACTTTCAACAGCCATCACAAGTAACATAAGTAGCAAGTAAAACTGATTTGATTTAAAAAAGGTTCAAGGATTTTATTGTTAATTCACCATGTGTGCAGGGCATACAGAAAATTGAAATACTGTTTTTGTCTCACCTAGTACTGGGTGCCATAACATTTAGGAACCAAAATAGAATAAAAATAGAATAGAATAGAATAGAGTAAGAACTGGATTAACATAATTAGGATAAATCTAAATGATACAGCCAATGAGCTGTGAAAGCTTCACTTTCGAGCCAGTGGAAGCCG